AGAGGAATCCGCCGTCATCTTCTGGTGGAACCGACCTTCGAATTTCTTCACCCAACACTTTCACTCTAAATGGAAGTAAGCTCAACAGACCTACCGTCAGCCAACTAGCTCCGGTCCCCGCCCTCTCTATCCTGTTTCTATCCCTAATACCAAGTCTATGATTTGCCATGCCCCAGTATCTTGTGTGCCAACCCAAAAATGTTGTGGTACAGCTTGTTTTGATTTGGTTCAATGTTGTGAATGTACAACGTCCACGGTTCGACTTTGGAAATGATCATGCAGACAATGGACTCCGGGCTAGGTGCGCTCCTCTAAGTCTTCCTACCAACATGGTCATGTTGCGAAAACAAGGTCAAACAACTTCTATAAAACTAATGCTCGTTCACTTTTTTTTAATGTAAGAATACGAGAAAATGCTTGATACAAATGTATGCCAAACCAGAAGGAGGCTCAAGTCTGGCTTCGTTATGAGACTCACCGATCATGTGCTCCCGTTTGACGAAAACATCAATCTCCTCTTGCGTGATCAACTGACCAAAGTGGCGTCTGACTTGAGGATCAGCGTTGATCAACTCCATACAGCGGGCCACACTCACTCTGGGCGGCTTGCAGCCGCGAATCGCGCTGGGAGTGCTCAACGGGAGGCTTGCTCCGCTGCCAGTAATCGAGGCTCGTTCGGTTCTACCCGCTTCGTATCGCCTGAGGGAGCCGGTCTTCTGAGCTGTGGCCGCGGCCGTGGCCTCGGCTCCGAGTCCCGCCTCCTTGTCGCCACCAGCACCGTAGCGAGTGTCGAGGCGGGTATTGCCCTCGTCGATCTCTTTGCCCCTGACGACAAGACTGTCAACGACTCGTCCACCGCCCGTGGAGGACAAGCCGACATGGCGCCTCCTCGATCCGAGCCCCGAAGGAGAGGCCGCCAATTCAGCGTCGGTTAGACGCGGCTTGAAGCGATTCTTCACCTCCCAGCTGAGCCCGATCATGGCCAGGATCCAGGCCAAGTTCATGTAACGTGTGAGAGAGCGTCGAATGCGAAAGCCGATACGTGTCAACGCCTGTTCATCGCTGCCTACGTAGGCGTGCATGACAAACGCTGGGCCCGACATCAACGGCAATTTGTGCACGAAAATCCACCAGCGTTGCAAGATGGTGGAGACGAAGAAGCCGAGCAAGAAGGTGACCGGAACGATGGAGGCAACACGTTGGGCGTGCCGGACGACCGCCTCGAAGATGGCTCGGCCCACGGTGTGATGCACCAGCAGGAAGTGGTAGACGAGGCTGATCGTCACGTAGGCGACCAGGAAAATGACCAAGTCGACCAGCAGAAGATTCCAGATTGAGCCCTGCCAGCGAAGCAGAAGACGGAGAAACGCGACACGCTCGTTAAGCGAGATGAAGGGTCGACTGGAAGGCGACATCTCATCCGAGTAGGGCTTAGCAACGGTAGATGAGATAGGCCCAGTTGGTCGACAAGCCGAAAGTGTTATGGGGAAAGGAAGCCGATCATCGCCTCGCCTATGGCTTGTCAACGCCCTAACGATATGTTCAAAACATGGAAATAATCAGGCCAGAGGATAAGGGACCGTTGTAGTAGACCATAGTTAGGAGTGTAGTAAGGTTGCACATATATGTATATTTCTGTATCTGCGATACACAGAAATGACGACCCTAAACAGTGATTTTAGTAAAAAAAACCTGCCAACTTGTGTCGATGGACTCGGATGGATAGACATAAAACTTATCAGAGTATGTAAATAGGTTATAACCATCGAAACGACGCGTAGGGCAACTGTAGGTAGGAAGATGTGTCAGGTTGTTTATTTTGCAATAAAAATTGTTTCTTTTTAACATTTTCTCTTGTCTATCTCGTCCTATCGCTTTTTCTCTCACCAACTCAATCAAACCTTAGCTCTTCGGGTTTCAGTTTGCCTGGATCCTTCAGCTAAACTTTGCTCACTGGATTGGCAGTATTACGGTTTTAAGGAGAGGAGGGCTCTGGCACACTAAATTGTGTGAACGTCCATCTCTACGTAGGTTTGAGGCTACCAAATGTATGCAGCATCTCGGTAATAGCCAATAATGAGCACACACAAACAAGAGTAGAGCTCGAGTTAAAACAGGATCAGTTGTTTAGGTCACTCGTTTAATTATAGGCTCTCGTGCGTCTCTGAGCTTACATTAATGAGTTTAAAGTATCTATCCATTCCCACGGATATTCATGCATGACGTGTATTTGTGCGCATGCCTTAATGGGTATGTGGATGAATGTGTGTGTGCACGCTTGAGGGTGTCCATATGAGTATGTGCTAAAAAAGGGACCCCATCATCTTTGAATAATAATAGCAGTAATAACAATATAGTGCAACTTTAACGCATAGTCAATAATACAAAACGCTAATGCTTGTAAAGGCTGTAGGGGCGTCGAAGAAGTCTCGGATAAATTTATCTCAGCACCTTCTTGACGCTAGTTGAGAAAAAAATCTAGAAATAAACCGGTTCTAACAACCTCGATTCAGATTCTCGAATGTAAACCTCTTGTTGAGATTGGCACTTTAAGGAGTCACAGAAGGGATGACGAATCGGAAAGGAGACTTGAGCTTCCCGGCACTCGGTGGGATTCAGGAACAGCTGGGACAGCTCTTTGGATACTGAGTGAAAAATGTGAATAACTGGTAAAATAAGACCCCCCCCCCTATGCGTTTAAATGTGTTGTTTACGCTAAGATCTTATCTCAGAGTAAAATGCGCTCTCGACGCCTCAATGACGCCTATGCATATAATAAGAGAGATTTTATTTTTTTAAGATAGAAAAGGGAATAATGCAGTTTAGAGGCGGTATACTTTTGAAGGGTATGCAAATTAAGGTAATGGTAATGATGATTCAGTTTGCTTGTGTAAAAGCGATGAGGCCACGCGGTGAATAGGACATTATGTACTGGACGGCCCAGAAGGTTTGCTGCATTGTGAGACCACGTGCAGAGGTATCCAGAACAAATACAGAATAGAGACGCAGCAAAAAGACGCGGAATTTGTTTAAAGTCGGTCTGAACAATCTTTTTGCTGCAACAGTGGAAATAATGTCCCGGATGCTCGAGTCCTACACACAGTCCTAATTACAAGGAATCTGCCATGATACAAACGGAGGTGCAGATGTGAGAGGCACATGAAGGCAGGATCTGCTTGTAAAATGAGGAGAGTTTTGGCCAGGCAGGAGAGCGAGAACGACATGCAGAGAAGCGCCTTCGTCCCGAGCAAGATTCAACTTTACTGAGAGATCTAACAGAAAGATTTAAGTCTCGGCTAAAGGATGCCCTTAAGGTAAGCGTAAGTAACGGGGAAATGGAGAAGTGGAAAATGAATTCATTACGCCATAGAGATTCAAGGGTCACAACAGCTTACGGCCTCCCTAAAGTTCACAAGAAGGGTGTCCCTATAAGATTAACTGTAAATAATAAAGGAAGCGTGATGCATAAAATCGCACGCTTTTTATGCATACAACTAAGGAACCCTGCCAATTTTTGGTTATATTAGGTTAGAAATTCGTATGATTATGTCAAAATTAATGGATCAGCAAGCACTTTCAGAAGAGGATAGGCTTGTAAGTTTAGATGTTGTGTCTATGCACACAAACATTCCTGTTCTAGGAGCTATTCAATCTGTGATACAAACTCTGGAGGAAAATCCAGAGATAGCAGAAGGAATACGGCTGAATGTAACTTCTATTATTAGACTTAATCATTCAGTCATGACAACAACATATTTAACCTTCGATAGTAAATTATACGAACAAACACAAGGACTAGCGATTGGATCTTGCTTGGCTCCAATTTTGGCGAATAATTATATGGTGAGACTGGAGGAACACTTCCTGCAAGAGGCAATACTAACCCCCAAATTGTGGGTAAGATACATGGATGATTATTTTTTAGCTGGCCTCATGGTAAAGACGGGTTCGATAGCCTCCAACTTCACTCAACCAGCGTGAAAGGAACATTAAGTTCACGATGGAAATGGAAAAGACTAAGTCCTTACCTTTTCTGGATGTTC